TCACACAAAGTGCAGATAACACCTTATTATTAGTCGGCAGATGTAACGTTAGCAAAAATATGCCTCATTTTATATCTTTAACATGACAGATTATCACACATTTAGGTTAACATATTTTGCAAAGAGAACATAAAACGATACCTGTTGCAGCTGCAGACGAGTTTGATGCTACAGCGAGTGTTTTCTCTTCAGACGCTGCAACATCGATGACGTGCTGTTGTGTTTACTCCAATTGAGCTTTGCAGTGGATGCATGGCGCTGTGTTGTCTTTTCTGTTTAGCCTTAAATGTTCTTAATTTTAACAAAAAGTGATGACAACAAGAAAATTAGCAAAAAGTGTTCAAATCTACTTAAATTGCTGTTTAAAAAAAATCTTGTCAGATTAGAAAGTATGACTGAAACAAAGATCTGTAAAAACAAAGCAGTGCATCCCTTGACCTTGCTGTTCTCTGTCTCTCGTCAATATTCTCCTACAGCTGCAGTTCTGATACCAATCTTCCCTCATTACTGCATTTATTTGTTGAGCTTAGAAGCTGTTGCTCTTTGCCTTGTAGGCAGTCACATTTATTTAGTCTGCCGCCATTCTTCCAGAACAGGAAGTGAAGACACATTAAGGGTTGATTATCAATGTCTGGCCTTTCATGCCGTAGTTTGTCCTCGGGGGAGAGAGGTCAGTGTGGGGAGCATTAGGAATGCATTATTAATGCCTGCCACAACTTCAGTGTTTCTTTTCACATTAAATGTTTTTATTCAGCTGTAGAACTTTTTTCTTGTCTCCAAAGAAAGTTGACACTATTTGCTGCTGTTTGGGATCATTGTTTTTTGTATCGTGAACAAGTTTGGTCCACATTTTTTTCTGGCCTAAAATTTGAATCTAAAGTGATTTGGAGTTCATGCGGTTGACTGCAAGGTGCTCAGGGCAGGCACCCGCAAAACAAGTCGATTGTTGATAAGGCTTTCCAGCTTTTGAAATCTGCATTCAACAACATCCAAACTATGGCTCACTGGTTCCCCAAAAGAACAATTTATAATGTACAAGTTGGATTGCAAACAATACCTCCTTTCATTCCTGTCGCACCGAATGTTCCTCCTCCAAGACACTCTGGTCACATCTAGGTACCAGGAGCAGCTATGCTACATTAACCATAGAGATAAATACGTAGACGCCTCATTGAGCCGGCTGGCCCATTGCAGCAGTACGTCAGAGTATCCACCATATTGGATGTGGCAGATCTGCCAGTCAACTAATACAAGGAAATGGACTGAACTTCATAAAGCACCGTTGTACCATGTTTTAAGTTGATCCCTGTCATTTTCACACACTAATATATTTGGAAAACAAACAGGCACTAAAGACAACATTTGTAACTTTATTGTGATTATTAAAATTTTTTATTCCTTAAATTTTAAAGTTATAGGTAAGCACTAAACCCACGTATGTTCTTTTTTTTAATTGAACATTTTTAATTCAAATTTTTATTTAACAACACACAAAAGGTACTCGTCAATTTACATAGTATAGATACATCTTTTACAAATCTCTTTTCTATTTGCTGTATTAATCTATGCAGGTTACATCTTCATGCAATTATAGTATTCATCATCTGGTATCTAATCTTTTTTTTTTTTTTTTTTACCAAACAGAAGTAGAATTTAACAGTTTATAATAATACTGAGTAGCTAATTAGCTAATGAACAGCGGGTGTTGCTTAATTAAAAAAATAAAACAGCTGGCCTTGTGTTGGTGTCTTGGTGTCAATAACAGAAAAGTGGAATAGTCTTCACCTCTTTGCTTCAACAAAAACACAAATTTGTTTGAGGCTCTTTGCTCCATTTCGAGATAGAAGATGACAACAACAAGAGTTTGCTGCGATAAAGCACACAAAGACATATTCAGACAGACTGAGGTAGGACAAGACCAGGCAGGACTGATGTGAGCCCTTGAGTCAGGAAGCATACCTCCCACATCCTCCCCCCATCTCACACACACATGCACAAATACACACACACACCCTAAATCGCACAACACGTCCACTTCCTTTTGAAAACACACGTGTGACTGATGACGGACGTGGAGACTCTGAAATCACCACACTGGAGATACCAGAGAGTGGACAAAGAAAATCTTCTACCTCACAGAGAAAATGTAAAAAAAAAAAAAAACTCTTCCAGGAGTCTGATAACTTTCACTCCTCCTCCTTCTCCTTGGTGGAGTCATGTTTGAACTTGTCTCTGATCCTCTGGTCTACTTCTCAAATGGTCTTTTATTTTCTTTGGCACAGAAACTCAGTTTAATGTAACCTCAAATGTAGTTGTCTGCATTTGTGCTTTATTTCCAAATCATCTGACGATTTACTTTTACCCAGAACTGAAACCTTCAGATAAAGAAGATTATTTTTAAATTTATATTGAAGATTATCTTTAAATTTATTTGAGTTTTACTTGTTCAAACAATAAAGCACAAGACTTTAAAAGCACAATTACCGTAATTGCCGGTGTACAAGTCGCGACTTTTTCTCACACTTTGTACCCCGTGTTTTATATACAGGAGCAGCTAATTTATATGGGGGGGGGGGGTTTCCCATAATTTTCTCAAGTTATAGTTTTATATTTTTTTTTTTTTTTGACAGACTTCCTGTCGTCACTCAGTAACTTCCTGCCGTTGACTAACATTTTACTTTGACAGAGCTGGGTGCTCATGGCTCCCAATGCCCACCCCTCTTGGGGGTGGGTTTTTGTGACAGAGTGAATATCCTCAGATAACCACATGTACTAAGATTCCTGCTCAGGGTTTCAAATTCCCTACCATAACTCCACCTACTCTGTCATCATATGACCAGAAGTTTAACCTGAATGACCAATGAGGTATTCTCAAAGACCATCCCCCAAGATAGACGTGCATTAATTTCTTCAGATTGTTCCCGTGTCTTTACCGTATTTTGCACTTCATGCACAGACCTGTTTATTTGTTCTGCGATAATGGAAAACACACGGATAATTTCTTACGACGCAGCTTTCAAGTTAAAATCAATGGGTCTGGCTGTGGAAGAATGAAATCGATCTGCCGCCCGTAAGCTTTGCATGAACTTGCTGATGGTGAGGATTGGAGATGTAAAGTAGTCAAATCTGGTTCTTGTTTTAATAAAAGTTTTTAAATTATTTTTGTGTGACATCTTTCTGTGTATGGTAAATATGTGTGTAAATACCGGGATCTCATTTTAAGCTCACATCCGAACGGAGACAACAAGAGGGGTTCTTCTCCTCACTTCCATCATGAGAGTTGAGACTTCTGGGTAATATTTACTGGTATATAATTTTTAAATAATTTCGGTTATGTAGGTGTTTGGCACTGTTGTGTCCTCATGAATGCTCATGACTATCATGCAGTCTGAACGTGTGTTGAAAGCAAGCTATATTCAGTGAAACGCCATCCGGTGGCTGATTCTTGTACTACAACAAGAAAACTGCACATTATGCTGGAGCTGGCTGAGCACAGGTCCTGACAATGAAAGGTGGATGCCCGTGGCTTAACCAGAGCATCTTATTTATGTACAAAATTATGATTTATCTTATATGTATGTATGTGGAGCTTAGAGACAGGTGCGCTCCGTAGCCTGCGAATTACGCTATATGAACTCTGGAAATAAATATAAATCAGAACCTCATTTTATGTTAACTAAACATTTGTTAGAAAGGAGGGAAAAGAATAGCCCAAGTCTCCAAAAAAAATGTTAGACTTTCAGAAAGTCTGGAGAACTATTGATCAAGTCCACTTTAAAAGATTAGAGATATAGGCTGCTTGGAAGCGAGACCTGGATCGAGGCTGAGTACAGTACGAGTGAGCTCGAAGGGGCCCATAAAAGTTTTGTTACTAGTATACTCTGGGCCGGGCCTCTACGGATTCTTTGTTCTTTGTCTCGTCGGCCAAAGATGTGTGAAAAGTGGGTCACAGGTCGGACCTCTTTGTCCCCCACGGGCAAATGAAAAGTGACAGACACCGGCCACACATCACCACTAATGCGCTCACACACATTCATCCTTCCCTACCTCCTCCATCCTTCTTGGCGCCCACTAATTGCGGCATGCGGTTATTAGTGCTGCGCAGGGCCAGCGCCGGTAATTGCAGAACATCCCTGGACAAATAATTTTGTGGTTAATTGGATCGTCTGAGTCCAGCACCTAACCAGCAAGGGTCATCGGGTCGAAGTAAGCTAAAGATGAAGGAGGAACCGGAGCCAAACTCCCTGTTTGTTGGAGCGTTCCCCCTCTCCCCTCCCTCCTGTTCTACAGCTCTTCAAGTTTTTAGCAGTGATTAGTATTTTTACTGAGGTCAAGTAAAAAAAAATGGATTCAGGAACTAAAGACAATTCAATCAGGTTGTCTCCTCTGTTTCTAGCATCCTGAATTTTTTGGTTTTCATTGGTGAAGTTTTCAGTCGTCTTCATCATTCAGGTTCCAAGTTTCTTATATAATAGCTGATTGATCGGCTCTGTAAGATGGAGCCTTGTCGTGGAACATGTTTGCTCATTTTCCAGCAGAAATATTAGATTAGGCACAGCTGCCGGCTGATTGGAAATGTTGCAACAACAGGCTTTGTGAATGTATTGAAGATGGAAGTTTTTTGGTCTATGAGTCAGTCTTGACTGAACTGTGAGGATGTTTGTTGTTGATGGACAAAAGAGCATTTCTTGTTGGGGTAATCACTGAAATACCTGGAGGCTTTATAGGTGATTAGTTTGGTCTTGGTTCTTTCAGCTTTGTTCTCTGTATTGTAAAATGTTTCTTGAGTCACATTACCAGTTTTTCAACAGAATGTCCAGTTAATGTCTGAATCTTTAAAATGGTTTGTGTTCATTTTTTAAAAATATCTCATTTGAAAATTTGAAGAAAAGATTTGGGAAAACTAGTGGTATATATTTTTTGTCTTTTAAACAGTTTTTTTAAAGGTCCTCCTTTTTTTCAGTTTTGTTAAAATCTTGCATTTCTCTCCTCTTTTCTAGGGTTTTGGACCCAAAGAACCAGTGAAACTCAAGTGGGGCTGTTGTGATTTCACTATCAGAACCTTGAGCTCATTCTGTCACCTCCTGCTGCTCTTCCATCAGAACTCCTCTCTCCATCCAGCTCCTCCTGCTTTGGATTAGAGTTGAATCAGGACCGAAGTGTCTCCTCTCAGTCCAGAAGGTTTCCAGAGGCTTGTTCAGGGCCAGCTTTACGCTGCAGAATGGCAGCTCTGTTCTGTTTGACTCTGATGGTTGCTGCACTTCTGCTTCCTCTCAGAACTGATGGTAAGAATTTCATATAATTTACATATAAACTAACAACGAACACTTTTTTACTGAAGAAAATTATCTCCTCCATCTCTTGAAATCTATTTAATGTGGATGATGGTGAACACGGAGAGGCTGGAAATGTTTGGTAAACATTTCAGGATGGGACACTGGGCTGGTGGCAGGCAGCCGTTTTTAACCAAACAACACACAAAAAAACTTAATCGGTGTTTAGGCCAGGGATGAGGCCGATCCAGTATCCGTATCAGGTTCTGATACCAGCGTAATTTATGCCTCTGATTTTTTTGATCCAACCTGCAGAGATTTCTGAGACACTTAGCAGAGACTGCACTACCTGAGCTATACAACAGAGTGTCAACCAAGTTAGATATCCTGGTTTTTTACTTCCTTTTCTGACCTTATACATATCTCAAGTTGCCTTTTTGGACATGAATGCATATATTTGTACAAATCGTACTTGCCTGAAGAGAGGAGTTTATTACAGCCTCGTATAAAATCAATAATGATGATGATATCGGACCTGTATCGGAAATGATCTGTATCGACAGATATTCTGATTTAGGTATCGGGATCGGATTGGGGAAAAAAATTGTGGATCGGTGCATCCATAGTTTAGGCAAATATTTAATGACATTTGATCTTCAACGGCCCTTAAAAAAGAGTCCCGTTTGAGTGAAATTATTATCGTTGTTTTATATTTACAAGATGTAAAGAAGGAAAAAACAATTATATATATTTTAGCTTTAACTGAAGTAAATCTGAATCATATCTTGAATTATTATCTTTATTTTCTCTACACAGTGACCCCTCACCTATCACAGGGGTTACGTTCCAGAGACCCTGCAATAGGTAAAAATCTGCCAAGTAGCAGCGTTATATTTATTTTATTATTTGTATATATTTATTTAAGGCTTTATAAACCCTTCTCACTGTCTTATAGACACTTCATATGTTCTTAAACACATTGGCGATGAAGATGATGATATGAATGTACAGTACGCACCATATCAAAAAAATATGTTTAAAAACCTGCGATACAGTGAAGCTGCAAGAAGTGAAAGCGAGATAACGAGGGATGACCGTAAACCTGCTGGTTAGTTTTGTGTTATTGTTTCTTTGTCAACAAAATTTTAAAGAGTAACAAACTCCGTATTTATGTTTTTCAAAGTGTTTAAAATGTGAATTTTTTACGTCTTCTTTCTACATGTAATTAATAATTTTAACTTAGGTCTCTCTTGAAAATGAGTTCTCGTGGCTCAATGAGACTACCTGTATAAATAAAGGCTAAATGGAAAAAACAAAAAAAACTTCCCTCATCCCTACACTGCTGAAGTTTTTCTGCGTATCTGATTGGCAGGTTCAGTTTGAAGCAGCTTGTTTATGAGAAACAAGAACATGAGAAAGGTCACCTTCTAGTTTCCCAGTTGTGGAGTCCCAAACACCGAGCTGCTGATAAGAACCCGCTGAGTATCAGAGTTACCGCCTGTGACACTCACCGTAATCTACAGAGGAAAGGGAGAAACTCTGTTTTATCTGTTTAATTTATACACAAGACAAATAGTAAAAGTTTTGTTATAGAGAAAATTAAAGAAACCAAACAGGCAGGATCAGTTTCAGAGAGCTGTGATTATTATTTAATCTATTTATCCTGAAATATTAGAAGAGGTTGCAGAAGATCAATTTAAACTTCCTCAAAGCTAAAACTTCTTCAAACGTGAAATAATGGATCAAACCACCTAAATTATGTTTAACACACAATGGATATAATATGCAATCATCAGCTGTAAGGTTTAAAACTGTTTAGCTCAGGAAAAAAACTGCTACAGAAACTCTGCATTTAGAGTGTTTTTTTTTAATTAAACAGATTTTTTTAATATATTGTTCAAAGGAATCAAGATTTTCAGTCACATTTCGGTCTGCTGGTTTGATTAAATGAGTTTTTCAGCTCTTATGAACTCTCCCTTTCGTCCCCTCACCGTTCCCGCCTGCAGGAAGCTGTTGAACTGATTGTTGCCGCTCTCACTTCCTCTCAACCCATAAACCATTTCCTGTATAGCACAGTTCGAGCTGTCAGCAGCGCTAAACGCTCCAAACAGCCATTGTTCTTCGGAAATATCCTTCATTCCCTCTGGAGACAAATTTTCTCTTTGAAGCTGAGTTTATTTCTTCTCTGTGGACCGTGCAGCGAAACTCCAGCTGCGCTAGAAGATTAATCATTTCTGTGGGGATGAACTGGATGAGGGCTGCAGCGTGTGACCACACGAAGTTTAAAATATGGAAAAATACACTAAAACCTCTGTGTTTAGGAATGAAGGAGTTATTCACATACACAAGTAGTTTTACAGAAACCAGTCCACGTAATATTGTAATAGTGGAAGCTCAAAGCAAATTGTTCAGCGTTTTTATGCTTAAAACACGTTAAAATGTCGTTTTTCATTTTGAATAAATTGATGGATAAATAATTAAAATTAATTAAAATTAATAAATAAATTGTTTTAAATTATTTTCACATCACCTGCCTCTAAATTTCAGGTTAAGGGAATTTTAAAAACACATTTAATGTCATGATGTGACGATGGAGATTTCACTTAAAAATAATTAGCTGAAGAAGATATAAACGTATTATCTGTTCATCTCTGCCTATTTGAAAGTCATCCATGTATTCAACACTTGTTACGCTTAAAAAACAAACTGAGCCGTAACATCTTGTCTCACCAGGCAGCTCAGCTCAGCTCAGCTCAGCTCTGTCTGATGCTTCCAAGTTTTAACGAGGTTGTTAATTACCTCACTGAGAAGCTTTCAGCTGTTGCCATGGCAACGTTGAGTCGGTACAGTAAACATCCCTTCAGTAAGCCGGTGAATTAGAGGGAGGTGCTTTATTGGACGAGCTTCAGGTTGTAAAAGTGGATAACAAACAGGAGGAAAGGGACGAGGTTAATGCAGACATGGTTCACATTTAGTATTTGAGCTTGTCTCTCTTTCTTTAATGGCTGCCCTTAGTCTAGTTAAAACGTCCTAGTTTAGTGCTTAAAGTTTAGCAGTTAAGCTCAGGCTGTAAACAACTTTCACTTCATCCTTGTTTTATTTTAAAGATCCACCTGAAAAAAACAACTCTGTGTTAAAATACAAAACTTGATCTACAATACCCTGTAATGGCCATCGGAGTCAAAACTAAATGTCAGAGTCAGAGATTCTTTATTGTCATTCGCACCTCATGTGGTACATGTGGTGGAGCGAAATTATGTACACGGGGTCCCAGTTACATCCAACAATAAAATGTATAAGAAAAACAGTAATAACATCTAAGATATGTATTAAGAAAGACATCAACTAAATATACACCAAGCACTCAACACAAAAACATTGAACATCAGCACAAACATGAGCATGAGTCTGTGCGAGCGGATGTGCACGCATGAACACATCAAATGTGATGAACAACGCGCCTGTTTTTAAACACTGAACAATTCATTGTGTTTCTGAGACGAACCAATCGCGTCCTGATTGATTATAAAGGGGTTTGAGTTTCAAGTGACCTCAAGGACGTTTTAATTCAGAGTGTCATTTCAGTCATTGCCACATAAATAAAAAAGTATCTCAAATTAAAAGTTAGAAAGGTAATTAGCAGTAGGTCAATAAAAGCTGTAGAGCAGGGGTGTCAAAGTCAAATGGACGGAGGGCCAAATAAAAAATTTAGCTACAAGCCGAGGGCCGGACTGATCGAATGTTCATTGAAATTTTTTTAAATGACTCATATAGTCTAGTGAACCTAATTGAACCTACTGAAAACCTAACAAATATATTCCAATATGATCAGATAAATAAAGCAATATTTTCTTATGGCTCTGTCAGTAATCTTTAATTTTCAACAGACACAAAAGACAAATTTCCTTTATATAAAAATCCCCATAACATGAACATTAAATGAAAGAAACCTGTATTATTCAAGGCACCATCAGTAGCCTATATGTTCTATTTTAGCAAAAGTGGGCTAAATTTACTTCAAAAAAAAAAATAATAGCAATTTTCTATCATCCACTCAACTGAAATATTTTTAAAATATAATTGGATTGAAATACAATAAAATAAAGTGTAAAAATCTATTAATCAAAAACAACACTTTCCTCAAGGAGAAGTAACATGCAGTGAAAACAAATATTGAACTTTAACTTTTAAACTTGAACTGAGTAAAAACTCTAAATATGTGATTGCACAGTAATGTTCACTTGTTTGAGGTTGAGGGTGATACTTGGTGGTGTCCCATCTTTTCCACAAGTTCATCAATGTTCGGGGTAAGGCTCTGAGCTGAGGAAATCCTCAGAATAGAGTGAAGGTGTTCAGCAGTAAGTCGACTTCTGTGTGATGTTTTGTTCAGGTTCATCAAAGAAAACAAAATAAAAATATATTATATTATAAAATATTCTGTTCCCCCTTTCTAACTTTGGCAAATAAAGAGCAAATGTTTCCAAATTCACAGGACTAGTTGTCCATGACGAGAGGAATGAGCAGAGTTAAGGACTTTTAGCAATATCCTGATGCATGCTCAATAATCCAGGTAGAAAAGTCCAAAAAAGTTCAATCTGGTCCTCTGGACATTCAAAAAAAAACAAAAAACAAAACAAAGCAAAAAAATGTAGAAACGTTTCGTCTCTCATCCAAGAGACTTCCTCAGTCTGAGGTGCTGTTTTCAGCTCAGTCTCTTAAATAGCACCTTCTCAGGGTGGATCAACCAGTTTTGCTGCTGACAACCAAAACCAGCTGATCACATGCTCAAGAAGGACCATCAGCCTAACAATGGGTCATTAGCACACTGATGGCTGTTTACTGTTCACAGAGGGCTGAGTGATACTAGCAATCACAGCATTGTAAGAGGGGGACAGTTGAACCCGGAGGCCTCCACCCCTGTTTAATGATGGACGGTTTCTTTTCACAGATCAGCTGGTTTTGGTTGTCAGCAGCAAAACTGGTTGATCCACCCTGAGAAGGTGCTATTTAAG